ATGTGAAGTTTTAAGGTACGAGTTATTAACTCAATGGTACTAAAAGGTTTATCATGCAAAAGTAAACGATCAGGATAACGTTATAAATGCAGAGGATTTAGTCTGGATAAATTAATCATTCGAATGAAGTGAACAGATGAGGGACAAAAAGTGGTTTGAGCTCTTATTTATGAACTAACTGATGAGCATTGTATGTACACAACAAACTAGCAATCACAAACCGGAAACGCGTTAGTTGCAGATCGATACGGCAGTTTAGCTACGTAAAGAAATAATTGTGAAGACAGGTCAGCTTAAAGAAAGTTTATATCGCTACGGCTGCTCTACATGCCTCAATTAGTAATGCATTATAGTTATAAAATAGAATAAAGAAGATAGCATGCAACTTGAATTCATAAATAGGCTTAGCATAAGCCTAAAAATGTGGAATTTAATTACTAACATAATAAATAAATCTTCAAATAAGAAAAAGGACTATAGACAATGCAGACAAAGGGGCACATTAGCACTTACCAGCGGCATTATGATGAATTGAGAAGCAAACCCGATGGCAGGCGCAACAGGCTTCTTAATATAAAGAAATATTACTTTAAGATCCAGTTGACAGCCCATAGCAAAAGTGACCAGGATCACTAGCCCTATTAGAAGAAAGCGGAAAACTTTTTGCAACACGCCTTTATGTCTCAATACCACAAGCTTGAATGCGAAGTCAGGCGTACTACTTGAGTTAAAAGAATCCAGACGCAGAAGATCGATGTAGAGTGTCATGTTTTTTTTGGAATGAAAGTACTCGACAAAATCACGATTCATTTCATTATTAATAATGAAATCTTTAGCCACCCTAACCCATATCCTAAGAAATGTTATTCCGATTCTGTTTGGTTGTATAACAAGAGAAGAGTTGATACACTTTTCGTTGAATGTTTCGGGTAACCGCAATAGGTCTGCTCCGTCTATATTAGCGACATAATCAAGGTCGGTGTCCAAGGAGATGAGTAACGGAAGGGAGCTGGTATATGAAAGTGTGAAGTTTAGGAGATGAGAGTTAACATCGAAAAGGAAAAGATCAGCCTTTGAAACAGTCATTGCGAGTGAAATGAATGGATTAGAGCAATTATATGACATCACAATTACAGATAAGTTGCTACTAGCTGCATGATCAAACAAGCAACCGAGCCGATCTTGGCTAGCTTCAAACTGTGGACTAGGTTTGAGACCTATATTTGGCTGAGGCTTTTCATACAAGTCAAACGTATCATTAGATGGGCTGTTCAGAAGAAAAATAAAAAGGAAAACTATCAGGCGAAAAACCATTTGACGAAGCGACGAAATCATTTAAGAAAAAAATCAAACGAATAATGAGCCAAGGAGAGCGTGACATTTAGAGGGGGCGCAACCAAAAGATATAGCAATGTGAGCATTATTAAACATCTAATTACCAAAAAGATTTTAACAACCTAAAAAAGGCCTTTAAGAATTTTATTAAATAGTATATAGTCTCTGATTCCCTATTTAGCATTATTCCATAAGCTATAATAATGCACATTTTAAAAACAAATAATTAATAAAATTATTTTTTCACTATAGTTCACAACCACAGTTGATACGTTATTGAATTGTAAATGTAAGGAAGATACAAGAATGATTTCTATGAATTGACAAATGCATCTATTTTATAGTCTTTAGCAATCAATTCTC